ATTCGTCAGTTCAGGATTTTTTTATTTTCAATATTTCGTATTTTGTCCGAGTTTTATTAATTTCCGTAATTAAAATTATGCTCTCGGTATGAAATTAGGGGTTCGTGACGACGGTCGGGGCTAGACTGAAGATGGTGTATGTGGGTTTTGTTAACTAGGAGGTGGGAAACTACTGGCACGCCGTGGCATCACCAACGGCGGGAAATCCATCCCATTGTTATTCACTTGGACAAGCATCGACTCGGTTTTGTTTATTGATGTTGGAGGGGTGAGTGGTGGACAATTGGGTGTGGATAAGAGTATTGGCTAGGCCGTGGCAATATGCCTTGGCATTTTTTTTTTTCCTTTTCTCTTTGTTATTTGTGTTGAGCTTGGGGGATGCCTGGAGGATGATGAGGAGGGATTTTAGCGAGAGTCGGGGGAAGGGTGGTTTCAGGTCGATACAGAGTTTGCGCTCCTGGGGCTGTCGTGGCCTGTTTGTCGCAGGAGATTGAGACCTGGTGAGTCAGACCGGTTGAGGATTTGCGTTTCAGGGGATTTCCGTATTTTAACGCGCCGATAAATATTTCAATAAATTTCACATTGAAGCTTTATAATTCGACGATGAAAGACTCCGATTAAACTTGCGGAGTATTCCGTGAAAAGTATGCAACTGACTCCAATTTTTTTTTAAACTTTTTTGACTATTGGATTTTAATTTTTGAATATTTTCCTTCCGGTTTTATTCGGCGATTATTCTAAATTGTAAATTTTTTTGAAATATTCAAAAGGTTTCTATTTTGTTATCATTTGGATGATAATGAAGTTTACCAAAAAATGGTTGATGATATTTTTTATTGAATGCAATTTACGATAAATTTTTAATTAGATGATTCAAACAAGTTTGTCGATGGTGTTCTGAAGGAGACGGATAACTCTCGTAAGGAGATCCGGAACCAGTTGAAGGACTGGTCCTCTGATGATGCCAGTGACGTCTCCAATCACTCCAGAAATGATTTCTTGAAGAGATCCATTAACTCCAGTCAAAGTGTTGTTCAATATCGACTCGACTCGCTCTAAAAGAGCCGTAAGCTGCTCGACGAGTGCATTATTCACAGTATTCGGAACCTTTTCGAGCTGTGCGAGGGTTCTCAGGAGGATTGCTCGTACCTCAAGTAGGAGATTACTGAGAAGACTACCGACTGGAGTTCTCTCCAGTCTCGATCCTTCCAATCTTGGGAGAAGGGACTCGATATTATTGAGAAGAGAATCAATCTGTTGAACTAATTCGGGAAGCGGTAGACCATTGATTATCCGGTTCAGCAAGCCCCGGTTTTGGGTGAATCCAGGATTTTGCTGAAGGTCTGATGAGAAATCGAAGCCTTGGGGTGCAGCGATCGCCACTGCCTACATTCAAAATCAAAATACAAAAGATTATAATTTTTATTTAATACCTCATGGCACAAGTCTCAGCGTAACGAGTCAAGCCGCAGCTAATGGTCGTAATCACATTCGCCAACAAATTCTTTCATCTACTAATTAATTTTTCTCTGGCAAATTAATTTCGTTTACTCAAAGAATATTCCTCCTGCAGCTATATTCTATCCGAGTGGCCACTATCATCGATTAAAGATGTTAGGGGAGCAGAATCGATCTTAGGTGATGATAAAAATGGTGCGTCTGATTTGTCATCTCCCCTAGCTTGAGAATTTTCTCATAGCACACCAGCTGCAGCTGTATATTGACTATATCTTTGGGGTGGACAAGAGTGAGAATTTTTGTAAGTG